TTTTTTTTTTTTCTTCTCCTAGATAATTTTGCTCATCGAGCTGAAGTTCGGAAAGCTTTGGCCAAAAATAAGGAATGGCAAGAACAATTCCTCATTCCAAATTTGCTTCTTATGGATAAACAAGAGTGTGAAATAACTTACCTGGTACCATGGTGCAAAATACAAAAGCCTCCAAAAGAAGGTCCATCTTTCTTTCTTCATCCCTGAATGTTGTTGCTAAGTGTCGCTGAGTTGGTTACGGTTCACAGCGATCCTGTATAGGGTTTCCGAGGCTGTATAAATCTTTGAGGGAGCAGAAAACCTTAAAATATCTGAAGATCTTAAGTTATATAAACTAAAGGTTCACAGGAAAAAATATAAATATTGTCAAATGGTCACAGACTTTAAAACTCACAGTTTACCTGCACATATGGGTGGCTATAAGTCAGAATCAATTCATCAGCATCTAGTAATTGTTGAGATTAAGTGAATTTGGCATCGTAAAACCAACACTAAACCCACTGCTGTCTAGTCAGTTTCAACTCCATAGCAACCCTAGAGAACAGTAGAACTTCCCCACAGGGTTTCCAAGGCTATAAATCTGTATAGAAGCAACGGACAGATCTTTCTCCCTCTGAGCACCTGATAGGTGTGAATCACTGACTTTTCAGTTGGAAGTTGAGTGCTTTAACCACGGTTTCACCATGTTGTCACCATGCCATCAAATTGGTTCTAACATATAGCAAACTTATATAGGATTTCTGAGGAATAGCTGATGGATTTAAACCATTGACCTCACAGTCAGAAGTCCAGTGCTTATCCTTCAGCACAACCCTAGAATTCCTTCTCCACTGTGTGACCATGTTTCCTCCTAAAACACTTAAGCATTAAATAATGAAGTGTTTTTCCAAATTGGGATTTTAATGATTCAGGAAAATTTCACTGTCATATATAAGGAACCTGTCTTATGTAACGGGTTACAAGTTGGGCTCCTTAACCTCAAGGTCAGCAATTTGAATCTCTCAGGTGCTCATCAAGAGAAAGGTGAGTCTTTCTGCTCCTCTAAGTATTTGCAGCCTCAGAAATCCTGAACAGGGTCACTATGAGTCAGATCCAGCTTGACGGCACACAACCACCACCACCAGCACAGTGTTATATAGAAAGGTGAAAAGATTGATAAAGGTTGACAAGCTGAGCATTGCAAGTGGGAAAAGGTGAAGGTAGATGAAAACTTAGGGAATTTTGTCATGAGTAAAAAATAACAACTTTTAGTATAAAAGTGTTTTTTTTCACAATAACACCTAAAACTAGAGTGCCATTGGGTGGCACAAGGAGTTACGTTCCCAACTTCTAGCAGAAAGGTTGACAGTCTGAACCCACCCAGAGGCACCTCAAAGAGACAAACTTGGAGATCAACTTTGTACAACCTTTAAAAGCCTGTGAAGCAGTTCTTTGCACACATGGGGTCGCCATGAGTTGGTATTGACAGCTAACTACAAGATAAATGTATTAGTCAGTGGGTGATGAAAACATCAGTGTTCTCAGCTGCTGACTGAAAGGTTGAAGGTTCCAGTCTAGCTAGAAGTGCCTTGGAAGAAAGACCTGGGAGTTTACTTCTGAAAAATCAGCCATTGAAAACTGTGGAGTGTGCAGCTCCACTCTGACCCATGTGGAGTCTCCATGGCAACTATCTCTTTAAAACATGTGCAGGTACCTGACCCTCCAAATCTGCTTATGTAGAGTCACCTTTCACTGGAACCAGACTAAACATGATTAGAAATTGCTTGGTGGTTTTCTGTAAAATCTTTCTCTCCTTACTCTAGGAGTCTATGAGCTGGTTACTTTTCAGATGAAACCTGGTGGACCAGCTTTGTGGGGTGAAGCATTTCAAAGGGCAATTTATTCCCATATCAATCTAAACTACAGCAAACTGGTTGGAGTTTTCCACACAGAATATGGAGTCCTCAATAAAGGTATAGCTGTTCCCTTCTTACATGATAATTGCAAAGTGTATTGGCCACATACTAATATGCTTTTGTGTCTGTTTGTGTCTCTTTCTCATTATGGCATAACATTTTTGCCAGGTTTTGAGTTTTATATCATTATTAGAGTTCAAAAATCTTTTTTATATCTAATTTATTGGCATCTTATAAAGCAGTTTTCAAATGCTTAACTGCTTGCTTTCCCTGGTACATCAAAATGATAGAATTTAAAGAAAAAGAAACTAGAAAGATCCTCAAATAATGTTTTTTCCATTCTTTTATTCCTCTGAATGCAATTTTATTGATTTTAAAACAAAACAAAACAAAAACATAAGCTAGAGAAGTTGTTTTGGAATGCAAATGTAATATTTATTTCCAGAAAACATATTTTTAATGAACAAAATACAAAGAAAAGAATTATTCATTTCCCACCACAGTAGTGAGATAATGCTGTTAATGTTTGGTTAATATTTTATTCCTATGTCATTTACATATGAGGGACTTCAAAAAGTTCATGGAAAAAAATACAGTTAAAAAATAAGGAATTTTGCACGCAAAATTTTTGAAGTTCCCTAATGTGTATCTGTGTGTGTACATGTATATTGTATATGCACCTATACATAAACACACACAGGCATCTATAAGAAATATATGCACCTGGTTCAGTTGGCCTACACATTCTTAAAGGCAGAGTTAGGAATGAATATTGTTCATAACCAAGGACTGTCTGTGTATGTGTATATAAACACACCCACATATATGCCGAAGTCCCCGAGTTAGGAACAGATCTGGTCCTCACTTTTAAATAAATCTGTGGATCAGTCAGACCAGGGGGAAGAGAAGGCCAGCTTGTGCTTTGTCTTCAGGATCATACTGGTAAAGACATGTTTCAGCTCCTGTTATAGTCCTCAAAGGAATGCTTCATGATCTTGATAACCTGCTTGTTTAAGATTTCTGTTGAAAGCTCTACTCTTGTCTGCAGCTGATTTGGACATACCCGTATTGTCATCATCGACCAAAGTTTGCTCAACTTTAATTTTTCAGTCAGCATTTTGTAAGCTGAACCAATTGATAAATCTGTGTTGTTGACTTTGTTTCGACTGTTTATCGGTCCTCTTCAATTAGAGCACGTACCAGATTGTTTCCTCACAAAATGCTATGAATATTCTGCTGCTGCCACAGGCTTCATCGTCAGCATTTTCTCATCCCTTCTTAAAATAAGTTACCTATTTTATAAACTGCTTGGCATTGTCCCCACTAACTTTCTATAAAGCATCAATGATTTCATCATTAGTCTACCCAAACATAAATTTGATGTTTGTTCTTACTTAAATTTAGCAGAATTCATGTTGCTCTGATAGGGGCTCATATCCTTTTTGGTGCCTCAAACTTGATTTTCTTCAGACGTGATATGACAAGTTATTGTTGTTGTTAAGTGCTCCAGCTCATAGCAACCCTGTATAGGGTTTTTGAGGAGCAATTGTTGAGTTTGAACTGTCAACCTTGTGGTTTTCAGTCCAGTGCTGATCCTATAGTGCCACACCAGGAGTCCTTATAACAAATAAACACGAGTTTATTTTGGTGCAAAAAAAAAATTGAAATCCATGCATTGTTGTTTTTTTTTATGGTACACATTTTCCATAAACTTTTGGAAGACTCCTCATGACATAAAAGCTACACATGCAGCAAGTGAGGATGATTATGATAAAGAATTTGCTGTTGAGTAGAGATTGATTCAGTCATCCCAAAGTGAGGGCAAATTTGCATAATGCTTAAAGTTGGCAGCCTCCTAGGCTGCTTTGGATGTGTGTGGCTCTCCACAGTCCTGCTGACTCTGAGTCACCCATTCCAGAACTTCAACTGTAATTTTTCCTGTTGTAGTTATTGCAACGAATCACCCAAATTGTATAAATTCAGTTCTTTTTGTCAGTCATGTCAGAACCAGTTAAGAGCCCTGCATTAAAGGGCAAGTAGGAGTTATCCATAAATTGGATGTTTGTTTGTAACCCAGGGACTGCGTGTGTGTGTGTGTGAATGTACACATACATATGTGTACATAAGTATGTATATGTGGTTGTTGTTAAGTACTCATAGCAACCTTATGCAGGGTTTCTGAGGCTGCAAGTCTTTGCAGGAGTAGAAACCATCATCTTTCTCCTACAGAGCAGTGGTGGGCTCAAACTGCTATCTTTTTGGTTCTTAGTTCAACTGTGCTCGCTATATGTTTGTATATGTATATATATACATGGGAGCTTTAAAAAAGTTTGGAAATTTTTAATTATCTTTTAATTCTATTTTCCACAAATTTTTTGAA